ATGTAAAATGAGGATAAAAGTACTTGTCTCGGGTTGGCTGAGAAGATAGGATGATTTAATGGCTGGACATACTTGGAATTGTGCCTGGCACAAAGCAAGTACTCAAATCCCATTCCACAATATTTCACCTTCATAACAGTCCTTCAAGGAAAATGTATTTTAGATGAGGAAACTGAGGTTAATGATCAAATAATGTATCTCAGACCCCCACCTGCTCATCTCTCAGAACCCAAATGTTCTGTCACATTGCTTCTGGTTTGCAGTTCTCAGTCCCTTAATTCCAATGGTGCCTCCAGAGCCCTCTGCCTGGGGAGGGGAAGTCTCCTTTGAAGTCAGTCACAGCTCTGCTTTCACCTTCTTTGGGTGTTTGATCTCCTCAGATCTGTCACTGCGAGGTCAAGTATGAACCTGGTATCAGGCTTTCTGTGCAGAGCTGGGGTCGTGACCTTGGTCACCAATACAGAGCTTGGTGGCCATTAGGAGCATGGTCTATCTTTATGGGGAGGGATTTAGAAAACAGATACAGTCAATAGGTGCCGTTAATGGGAACCACCAAGACTGCGACATTCTTCAAGGTAATGACCTCCCACAGGGCAAAGAACGAGGTTGCTTAATCACTTTGATACTCGAGGGTGCGTTTGTCTTTAATCTTTCTTTTTTAAGCTAATGGCAGCAAAGCTAAGAACTTTTCGATTCTGATTTTCTTCTATATGAAAGCAACTTTTCGCCATCGGAGAAAAAGAAACATTCAAAAAATATAAACGATGTTTATTTGAGATTTTGGAACTTGGCACCCTGTGACCACGTCTTCATTCACTCTGGGGATGCTCTCTGGTTCTAACATACTTCTCCATTCATCGCTGTCAGAGTTGCTTGGACCTTATCTTTATATTAAGTACAGGCCCACAATCCTCCCCAGAAAGCCTTCAGACTGAGAGTATGATACCACTAGGAGACACCCGGAAACAAAGATTAAGAAGGAACAACAAAAAGAGTGAGTTTGAAAGCAGCCAGGGGTCCCGGGAGATGTGTGGCATGGACAGACTACTCTAGATACGGCCCCAGAAATAACTCTGGAAAGGTCACACCTCAGACCTCTGCTAATGCGGATTGGCTCTTGAGCATTTCCAAAATACTGATTGTGTCTCCTGTTGACATGCACCATGTAAGGAGCTGAGCACAGTCCTGTCCCCGTGCTTCAACTGTTGCGATGTTGTGAGCAGAGACTAAAATGCTCAGAGTCATCCAATAGCCACCAAAAGTCGAAGTGATGTCTAAACGGAGCACATTTGAGACAGTGTGAGGAGAGAAAAGTCAGCATGTGATCGTTGAGGCAGAAGTCTGGTCGTCCTGGATTGATGGCAATGATGACAGGAAGAAACGGAAGGAAGTCCTCGGGGTTCCATGAATCATACAGAGAGAGGGCTCCTGACATGGATGAGTCTTCCCTGTGAGCTGGCGTTACTACAAACCACACCCCCTAAAGGACATAAAGACGGGAGGAGAAGTAAAGTTTCCAAAGCTGGTGCGCGCCAGTGAGTTTGAGACTTCATGGTCTGATGTGGTGGCATCGCAGTGGAGGCCACAGTAGTATTGCTGGAAGAGAGATCACGGAGTGATGACATGTGGTCACTAAAGAGCCTAGGACCCTGGAACTCGCCCTGGAAGAACACACACATCGGGTGGGACAGTCTGAGTACAGGGAAGAGAAGTGGGCAGGGAAGTCAGGAGAAGTTTCTAAGGCCTGGACGTGCTCAGTGGGAACGTACACTTCCAGAAACCCTAAAAGGTGAAGTAGGACGTGATTGTCTGCCCTGGAAGTTGGGGCTTTCCTGAGAATCCTGGACTGGGCAGTTTCAATAGAGTCACAAGAAAGAAGGACTTAGGGAGAGTAAGAGCCTGTAGCCGCGAGAGCATGGGCACTGTGAGACCCAAAGACTGGGCTCTAAAAAGATATCAGTGGGGGTGAACGGGGCCACGTCAACCTTCAAACTGGACCCACCTACCACACGTTTACAGAAGGGTGAGGCTGAGCTAAGGCAGAGCTGTGAGAAAATTCTCTCAAGGGTTTGGGGGAAGAGAAATGAGACATCTAGAACGTAAGGAAGAGACTGAGAATGGCCAACTGGAATAGCAGACAGAGGGTGAGGGGCCAGGGGCTCAGACTTCTCTAACAATAGAACTATGACTTTTCAAAACAGACGGTCTTGCCAACTGCCCACTGGAAATTACTAATGAAAGGTTGGTGGGGAGCAGCCAGAGAGAGAAACGGAAAGTTCTCCCGACCCAGAGGCAGGTGGACAGGCAGCGGGAAAGCCTGCAAAGGAGAGGGTCTCAGAAGAGAGTTTCTCCCTTTGGGCCCAGGAAGTAGGGCAATGTGCTGGTGTGGAGAAGAAGATGACGTCTGTATTGAAGCTTCAGGAGAGGAAGAACCAATGAAGAGGCAGAAGAATCTGATTCCAGGACCAGCCTCCCTCTCCAAGTCAGGGCTGCCAAATTGCTTTCTTTTTGATCTGCTTACTGAGTGGTACAAAGTTCCTGAATTCTCTTTGGCTGCCTTTCCACAGATGGCCGAGGAGTGGGAGACCAAAGCCAATGTAGCATTTCTCCACAAAGCTGAAGGGAGCAGAGCCGGGCGTCTCCTGGGAGTGGGGAGGCACTGGGTTATAATGGAGACATTCTCACAAGGCTCCTGGCTTCAGCACAGACTTAGGCTATGCACAGAGCCAATAATGTAAGAGGAAGGGATGCTAAGAGGATGGGAGGCAAGTGGGTTCAGAGGGCTTTGCATGGAAATGCCCAAATCAATGAGATTAAGCTTTGGTCAGCAAAATCCTACGTCTAATAACACAGGTAATTTTGTCTACCGAGGCCGGGGGCTAGGAGTCGAGGAAAGATGACATTTCCTGACAGGCTCCCAACACTGATACTAATGACATGATCTAGCATATCTGAGTGGGCTGGTCCGGGTCCTTCATATGCAATTCACTGAAAGCCTAGTGAAAGAAGTCTCTTCCAACTCTGACCTTCAAACAAGAAGTGCCAAGATTTAAGGGACATGTTCAATGACCCACAAGCCTGACCCTAGTCCCAGAGTCTGGATCCAGGTGATCAAAGTTTCTTGAGAGACATTGTCAATACCATTATCTTAAAGTACTTGTGGGGTGTTAGCCAGGCGAAGGCCTTATACTCAGGTGAATGGACTGTCTAAGCTTAAGAGCTTAGCCAGTTGTTTTGAGGTGCGACTTTTCTTATGAAAGAGCAATTAATAATTTTCCCAGAATCCCTTGCTCTTTGTTTCTCTCCCGCAACACGCATTTCCTGAATGGAAGGATATACAAATATAAAAGAAGACTTGAACTTAAGTGAATGAATAACTCTTACATTGTTATATAGCTATTATACTACTCCTGGCCTATTAAATACAACAGATTCATTGGTTCTTTAGGGGAAGACAAAGGATTGAATCTTTGACTAATAGAGCCTCCTTCAGCCTGTTCGTATTGCCTTCTGCCATTGTTCCTCATTGGGCTTCGGTGAATCCAGTTCCAAACCTGCACTGGGCCTGCCAGGAAGAACTCAGCACCACTTCTATTCAGGCCACCCCACCTTCGGGTCTGCGCAGTCCAGTCCCTCAATTTACTTTGGCACACGTCTTCTGTCTACTGTTTTCTTTACAGTGTTTGCCTTGGTGCCCCGGCTCTGACTTTCATTATCTCTTATCTGTACTATTGCAATAGCCTCTGAACGGAGAGGAGCAGGGGATTTAGAGTCAAATGGATCTGAATTTGATCTTGACTCTTCTACTCATTCACAGTTTAACCCTTGGGCAAATGTCTGGATCTGCTGGATTTCAGTGTCCTTGTCTGTACAGAATGGAAAGCAATACCTTCTCTCACAGGTATGTGAGGATAGAAGGGGAGTGTCCACACCAAGTGCCTAGCACGGGGTCACCTCTGGTGCTGTTGTAATCTGAGGATACCATTATTCCATCTCCCATCTCCAAATCAGAGCAGACGCTGCTGCCAGGTGAATTGCCTCCAAACACAATTCTGATCATGTCAGAAAGACACGATGTCACAGCCTATCCTTCTGCGAAGCTGTAAGTTGCCAAGGGAGTCTGTTTATAATGGGAGCATCTTACCTCACTTTTCCCAGTCTGGATGCCAGATGCCTGACTTCAAGTCAGGTAGCTCCTGCTCCACCCACTCACTCTCTCTATAAAAATACCTGGAGAGGTCTTCGACTTCCAAAGACAATGCAACGGTTTGTTGTCAATGAGAGGAGACCACTGTGTACCTCGCTGCTTGGCTAGGCTGTGCAAGTCTATGTGATGGGATAAGAATTTCTGGAAATGTCGACAGTCCCCTCCTTCGGTGTTCTCTGGCCCTTTGCCCCTTCAATTAGGTAGATCATTTTCTATTCATTACCTTGAGGAAAATAATGTGATGAGAAAGGGGGAAGCTTTTTTTCTCACTGTTGAGTTCACTGAGCCCCTTTGTGGAAAGAAATCACTGGCTTGCAAATGTTAAAGGATGAACTGGGAATTAAGAACACATGATTTTGGGGAGGGTGTCCTGCTTGAAGGGTTGTACCTTGCCTCTAGCTTCAGGTGGTCAGGGACCCTCGGATGCATGTCATCCATACTCCCAGATCTTAGTCAGCTTCTCTCCCTGTGGCCACCAAAGGATTCTCTGAATAGCAACCAAAATGTTCTTGGCAACCCACAGGGACTGCTCTACTGTTTATGAGGACTTCTCACTGGCACTGGCTTACTTGGCTAACTCCTGTGGACTGTCCAAGGACACAAAGACAGGTGTTGCCCTGTCACACCAGTGCAGTGCACACCAAATCATACATAGCAGGTTAACTAGCCATGTGTTGGTTCTAGTCAGACAAGAATTGATCACCTCCAAAGAACAGAATGTTAGTTAGGAATGGTTAAGAACAGAACTGTCAGTTAAGAACTGTTAGAACTGTGAAGTAAGAATGCAGAGACACTTTGAGAGTGGGAACACCTGCCTGGTGCCTCTTGAATGGATGCTTCAAATGTAATCAAAAGGAAGGTAAATTCTGGACTGAGGGGGAGGGGAGGTATCCTTTCCCTTTTGACTTGTTAGACATCCCTCCTGTGGTCTTATGCTTTGATGGAGCTTCTGGAGGAAAAGTAAATGGTAGGAGCAGAGCTGATCCAGTCATCTGGAAGAGGAAGGCGGTGTGACACTGTCCCATTGGTGCCCCAGTCCTCGGCATCCCACGTTGTTCTCATTCTAGCTCCTTTCCATACAGACTCCGAAGTTTGCCATGAGGCATTAGCGAGTGTGATACCTACAGAGACTCGATAAAGATTATACTTGGTACAAATGCTTGCAAGATGGTGTTTGTTCTCTTGGGTCCTTTCTCTGGAGTCGACTGCAGATGGCTGGAGAAAGGAAAGATGTGAGGCGATACCTGAGGCACACCAGCGCTTAGCGGCGCTAACTGCCCAACTACAAGTGACTCCCTCATGGACAGGTTCCCAGTGGAGCTCCCAGAAGAGTGCAGTAGCCTGAGAAAGCATAGCAGACGTGGGCCAGAGTAGAGCCTTCCTCACTGAGCCCCGCCCATGTGGCAGAATATGCAAAGAAAGGAGTCTGTCACCTTAAGTCTCTAAACTCAGGACAGATTGTCATGCAACAAAGGACAACTGGAATTCTTTCTTTCTAGAAAATGCTTTTCCAAACAATTGTAGGGATTTCCCATATATCAGAGACCTTTACCTTGTCCAACTTGATAACTATCTTCTCAGTCCCTAGCAGCCCACAGTAGGTGTCCAGTAAATATTTGTAGACTTCGCTGCATAAATCAAGCACTGCTGTACACGGAGGGTTGATTTTTCTGGCCACTTCTCTTCCTCCTAAGCCATGAGCTTCCTACCCTTGAAGCGTCCATTTCCTGTTGATAAATGGTTGGCAGAGCGCTGAGAGCTCTATATGTGTGGTGGTATATTAAAGGTAACTGTGACTGTTATCTGTGGAATTTCAGTTGACTAAAAGCCGAGGGCAATGAGTAATAAATACTTCTACCTGCTAAAAACTGGAGCCAGACACATTGGAAGCACCCAAAGGAGATGACTAAAATCTTTTCTGAAACATTGGTCCATTCATTTACCTCCAGCTTATATAAGAGAAAGTTCAAGAGACACTGGGGATTTAAGAGTAGGATCTAGAAACCACACCATTGAGCCTGGACTCAAATCTCCATTCTACCCCTTACTAGTTTCAAGAGCTTAGCCAGATCACTTAGCCACTATACTTTCACTGGCTTGCTTGTAATGGGAGGAATAATGAGTACCAAATAGCTTATGTTAATTTCTTAGACCAGTGTTCAGCTCATGCTAAGAGTCTGTGTCAGCTGATACAAGTAGCATCAGTTTGAGTGAAGAGATCTTGCACATGGGAAAACTTCCATAGTGGGGAAAGCCCATGTGAAGTTGCCAGGGCAGAACTGACTCGGCACGAACTCCCCAACTCTATCGTCTAGCTAAATAATCGAACCAAAGAAACATCTAGAACCTCACTGGCGTGCTCAGTGGTGCATGCGGTGAGGGAATTCTCAGAAAACTAAGTGTTGGTTCCTGGAGACATTGAGACTGAAAAGGTCCAAAGGGAAAAGACTGATAGAATGGGCAGAATGAAGAGACAGGCTGAAGGAGGGGCATGGAGCACAGCGCAAGCTGGGACGTGATGGGGAGCTACTGATCTCAGGGCAAGAACACAGCCTAGACAGGTTCTTATTCAAGAGGAAGGCCTTCCAGAGCAATGCTAGTCCCATGTAGAGGATGCACCAGAGTACCTATGAGGACAGGCCTAGGGTTTCAGACAGGGAGCCACGTGCAGGTCTTGACAGTGTCATCTAAATTGGTAGGCTAGTCTGACTCACATTATAGACCAATATTTGGATCTTTCTCAAGTTCACATGCTAAATTCTAATCCACAATAGGATAGTATTAGGACGCGGGGCTTTTAGAAGGTGATCGGGCCTAGTGAATGGGACTGGTTCCTGTGTAAAAGGGCAGCTCGTGAGCTCCCTCTCTACTTCTGACCCATGAGAACTCAGAGAAAGGATACCCCTAGGAGCCAGGAAGCAGGTTTACTGAGTTTGTTTTAGGACTATGCTGGGGAAAGAGGAGTTTTAGCTCTAGGCTGATCTCAACCATATCAGTTTCCAAGGATAAGACTTTCCCAAGGGACTGGTGATGTTCTCGGCTCCACCTGAGTCACCTTACCAGGAGATGAGCAGGGGCGAAGTGGGCAAGCAGAAAGACCAAGAAGGGTAAGGTTGTCACTGCAACGTGGTCCATTCTATCAACATCACCCTGCTTTAATCTCACAACCATTTGTAGAGGAAAAGAGGTGCGTTCCCTCCTTGTGGAGGTGTAAGAAGTTACCTGTTTGCCAAGGTGTCATAGGTGGTGAAGGCAAGAGCTTCTGCCCTTCGCTGACAACAGGGAGAGGTGCCAAGTATTTCTTGTGCGCCTTCTCATGCTTTTGCAAGTTAGCATTTGTCCCTGTCCCCAGCACACATGTCTCTAGCAAACTACCTATCAGTGCTTGAGGAGCTGCCGAGGTCCTTGAATGCTGACCTTAGAAGATTTCTTAGAGTCAAGCTCAGTCCCATCCGAAGCCTTTCTAGTCCACTAGCAGAGCAGAGAACACTTACACTCTTCAGTGGTTCTTCTTGGGTTCTTCTAAACTCCTACCTGGACCCACCATAGATAAGACCAAACCCTGGAAGAGCCCAGGTAGCAAAAACAAACAAAAACGGATACCTGGTACAGTACCAAGCTACAACAAGGACATCTACTTTTGTCAACTTTCGTAAGATCTCAACAGAGCAAAATTACTTAGTGTTAGGAAATACCAATGACCCAGAAGATCTAAATCAGTAGAAAGCTTGCCTTTGTCTGTTTCCTTTCTTTCTCTCCATCAGATGCCGTTGGGTGGGATGGGAGAGAGTACCACGTGATTGCTTCAGGGAGGTAATGAGCTGTTCATAATTTACCTTCTTGACAATCAGTTGATGGCAGAGGAAGTGAAAAGACAAGCAGGAAGGCAGACCCAGTGTAGGATTGTGAGCAGAGAGGGGCCAGGATTCCCAACACCCTTGGCTTGGGTGTGGGCCCTACTTACTTTGACCACGGGTGTGTCTGATGTTCTGGGAATTCACATTATTTCAAACAAAAGCTTAAAGCCACACACTGAGAGAATGGTCTCTGGAGGTTTAGAAAAGCTGCTCAATTTCCCTGAGCTGCCCCCGGGAAAGCTCCTTCCCAGTTCCATTTGCTCTTCACAGACATCCTTTCATTAGAGCCACCCGGTCACCCCACCCCACGTGGAAAAGATCATTGTCCGCATTTCTCAGAGTTCTCAGAGCCTTGCTGCCATTAAAATACTTGCCTGGGGTCAAATAGCTAGAGGTGAAGGCACCTACTTGAAATCTGGCCCTGCAGTACTCCACACCCATTTCTCTAGTGGGGTGGCCAGCCTCGGGTCACTCCCAAGGTCACCCTTGGCTCTTTATTACAACTGAGGCTAGAACTGTGGCCCCATCTTCTCTGAAAGAGGAGTCAAACCGCTGGGAGTAGCGAATAAGGTTTGTTCATATGCTGGCCTCACTTTCCCCTCCTATTGCAGTAAACTTTAGACTTGGACACAGCAATGCTCCCCCCAGGGATGTAGTATTCAAAAGCAGTTCTCGGGGAGGACATTATTTAGAGTGTTGACCTATAGATAGATGCCTATACTATCATTCCTAAAAGGGGCACTTTGAAAAGAACAGATGAGACAGGCCTGGACAACTAAGAAAGCATCCTTTAAAGTAAATTAGGATATACTCAATCAGGATAACAATATTTAGATCTTAACTCACATAATAGAATGACATAGAGAGATGGTCAAAATCCATTGTTAAATAAACAAAAAAAGTCATTAAAAAGCACCTGAAGAATTCTTCATGGTACATTAAAAAATATTTTTCACAGATATGTCAGCAAATACCCAGAGAGTTCCATACCAAACCAGCAATGCTAGCTATTTCCGGCTGGAGCAATTCTGGTTGTTTTTCATTTCCTTTGTGGATTTTCTATATTTCTTAAATATTTCAAATTGAATGGGTGTTAGAGTTCTATTGCTGTGAAGAGACATTATGACCACAGTAACTCTTGTAAAGGAAAACATTTAATTAGATTTGGCTTACAGTTTCAGAGATTCAGTCCATTACAGTCCATGGTGAGAAGCATGGCAGCATGCAGGCAGACATGGTGCTAGAGAAGGAGCTGAGAGTTCAGTATCTTGATTCAGAGGCAATAGAAAGAGAAGGCTGTCACATTAGGCATGGCTTGAGCATCTAAGTCCTCAAATCCCACCTCTACAGTGACACACTTCCTCCAACAAAGGCTGCATCTTCTATAGTGACATTTGCTATGGGCCAAACATTTAAACAAATGAGTCTTTGGGGACCAATCCTATTCAAATCACCACAATGGGAATTAAGTTTTGTCTTGGTTTTTTTTTAAATATTTATTTATTTATTATGTATACAATATTCTGTTTGTAGGCCAGAAGAGGGCACCAGACCTCATTACAGATGGTTGTGAGCCACCATGTGGTTGCTAGGAATTGAACTCAGGACCTTTGGAAGAGCAGGCAATGCTCTTAACCTCTGAGGCATCTCTCCAGCCCTTGTTTTGTTTTTTGTTTGTTTGTTTTTTTCAAGACAGAGTTTCTCTGTGTTGCCCTGGCTGTCCTGAAACTCATTCTGTATTCCACGCTGGCCTTGATCTCAGAGATTCTCCTGCCTCTGCTTTCCGAGTGCAGGGATTAAAGGCATATACCACCACTGTACAGCAAAATTAGTTTTGTAATGTGAAAAAATTGTATAAGATCGGTAACAAAAGATTGGCTGTGTCTTTCTGGTCATTTGTTCATTCATTCATTCTTACATTTGCTTCATGTGTTAAACGCCAAGTACTGTAGAGCCAGAATTGCATTCAGTTTGGTTTAGGATTCCTCAGACACTGTCCTCT